ACAAAATGCTATAACCTAACGAAAATAGCCCCAACAAGTAAGAATAACAATAAAATAACCAAAAACGACAAACCGCGACCGGTGTAGCGCAGTCCTACAGAGAGAAATAAATCCTTGTGGTTTTCTCTCAAAGATTGAACTGACATTTGTTGTTGTGACACACTTCTTTCAAGCATGATGGTTATGGGTTTAATGGTATTCAACTGGTTAAGAGCATGACGCTTGAGCGTTTTTCTGTTGGGATATATCCGATATCGTCGTAAATGTTTCCAATATGTGGTGGGATATTGGTTACAAGAAATATATTCCTCGATGAATTTCACACAAGAGTTAGCCTCACAAGGTCTGGTGGAGAAATTGAGGAACTAATTCAGCCCTCTTACCACCCCGAGCGGATAGGTAGTTTGTGTGTCCAGCTCGATCGTTGCTCTTCTGGCAGAGACGGGTCACTTGGTTGACATGTGCTCAGCATTTACAATCATCTATCGAGTCTCACCACACCCCTCAAGAGCAATACGTTTTCGTACGTTAGCGACCGCAGAGGCGATTAACATCTGACTCATAAAGCCTGAGCTGTGCGCACAACTCAAACTGATTCACGCTCTCAATTTCCCCTGGCCAAGGGAAGAGAAAATTGCTCGTTCATTCGACCATGACGTAATCACTTTTGTTATGTGGTCGAAACTGCGCACAACAAATTTAGAGTTCTCTTGGGCTCATTGCGGAACACATGAGTCATTCACCCTTTTTGTTTTTGTTTTGTTTGACCTTATTGAACTTGTTTCATATAAATGTGATTGTAAAGGCTTAAGAAGGTATTCACCGAAAACATATGTTCGCCTACACTGTGTTCTCTGTCTATGTTTTCTTTTGGTTCAAACTTCTAGAACAGAGAGTAGTGCAGTACTCTCTTTTCATGAAAAGGGATTAGTAGGGTTCCCCGCTCGAGGGGAGAAATAAAATGAAGACTTGCGAACTCTCATATAATTCAAAATGCTTTTTTCTTTTATTGGGGATGAGTAGATAAACCTAAGTGGTGGTCTAGACGAAGTTTGAAGACCGCCTTGCTAGGGGCGCTATCTCTTCTGGAAGGGCATTCCATAAGAATATCACCCTGAAGGTAAAAACTGAGGTACGTAGAGTGGTTCTCGGACTGGGCTTGAAGATTGTTTTGCTGTGACCACGGGTAGGCTGAGAGTCAGCAATGACAAAAAGGGTTTCGACAGTGCCCTTGTCGAAGGGATGGCAGAAGAGAAATAGATCTCCCCGAGTGCGTCTTATTTCTAGTGGGTAAAGGCCCAGTTGTTGGAGCCGCGTTGGGTAGGGGAGGTCCCTGAATCCAGGGACTGATTTTGTAGCGGCTCTCTGGAAGCACTCAGGGCAGTCACGATCTCGGATGAGGCCAGAGTGTGCAACTTGGCTTCCATATTCTAAGAGAGGGCGGATGTACATTCCGTAAATAAGGGGAAAGTCGTCCTTAAGAATACAGGGTAAACATCTTTTGATGAGGTTAGGAACTCGAAAAGCGGCCTTACTGGCTAAATGGTTATGATAAGAGAAAGATAGATTGTTGTTTAACCAGAAACCAAGAACTTTGTATTGGTCCACTTGGAGTAGTAGGTGGGTACCTTTTATCGTACAAGGGTGAGAAGTGTGACCATTGAACGACATCCCAACACACTTGTCATTGTTGATTGGAAGATTCCAATCCAGCGTTTGGTAGCATCAATTGAAGTCTGTAAAAGAGAGGCGTCTGTATCCCAGATGGTGACATCATCGACGTACAGCGCAATCCTTGATGACACTACATCGGGTAGGTCATTTATATAAATGAGGAAGAGGATGGGTCCTAGAACAGAACCTTGGGGAACACCGGTCGTAATTGGGCTGGGCTGAGATGAAGATTTGCCAACACGAACAGCAAACGAGCAATTTGAGAGGAAGCTTCGAATAAGAGTAAGCAAGGGGTCTACAATGCCAAGTGCCGCAAGTTTGTGGAAAAGAGGGATGTGTGGAACCTTGTCAAAAGCCTTTGCGATGTCAATGAAAACGGCATGAGAGATGTTGCCGGAATCGTATGATTTAGTCAGGTTATCCATGACAGTCAGCATATGGGTGATGCATGACCTGCCAGGTAGAAAACCGTGCTGGAAACGAGAGAG